TGAGCTGAATAAGATAGGAATGGTCAAAGTGGCGGGAGTCTGAGCCCTGGTATGGGAGAGCCCTTGATGAGGCAGCCTCAGTGTTCAGCTCAGACAAATTCAGAGTCCACCCTCCCTGTAGCTGCTGGCCTCGGGGGAAGCTGTCCTTGGTTAGGCCTTCCCATGAAGGGTGGTCTGCCTCAGCTCTCCTACCTCAGCCAGTGCATTCCTCAAAATGGTCCCCAAGAGTGACCTGGAGGGTCTGAGAGAAGGCCCAGTTGACCTCTAGGGCAAGAGACATGCCCTAGTAAAAGCTGATGCTACTAGGTACACTAGGCCCTCTTTAGTCACCCTGTTCCCTGGCATGACATGGCCAGACCTGCATGGAGGTTTGGCAGTAAAGGCCCAGCCCCGTTCACTGTACCCTGAGACCTTCATTGGGCAGAGCCCATGGCACAGTGCAGAAATCTTCCACCTTGCTACTGGGTAGTCTTCCAGTTCTGTGACAACTTAACCATCTAATTGGCCAGGGGGAGCAAAAGGCCTAGGAAGTACTTAAACTGTCCACTGAAAGTGGTCTTCAGACTATCAGAACCACTCTCATACAGTCTCTGAGAGGTGGGCTGAGATTTTTCTGCCATTAAAACTAACTCAAGCCCAATGCAGTGGCTCACACCTATAATCCCAGCATTTTGGGAAGCTGAGGTAAGAGGATTGCCTGAGACCATGGGTTCGAGACCAGCCTGGGCAACTTTGGTGAGACCTCATCTCTACAATAAATCAAGAAAAATTAGCCGGGTGTGATGGTGCATGACTGTGGTTCCAGCTACTTGGAAGGCTGAGGTGGAAGAATCACCTAAGTCCAGCAGGTCGAGGCTGCAGAGGTCATGAGCATGCCACTGCACTTCAGCCTGGGTGACAGAATGAGAGTCCAACTCAAATAAGAACAAAACAAAACAAACCCATATTGGAGAAAGTTGTGTGAGTAGCATGGACCAATGGTGCACTAAAACAGTTGTACTCATTGTCTCAGAAGATGGCAGCATATCCTCTGCCCTTGCCCTGACCCAGGATCACATTAAAATCAGTGTGGCAGCCGGGTTCGGTGGCTCAGCCTGTAATCCCACGCCTTGGGAGGCTGAGGTGAGTGGATTGCCTGAGCTCGCGGGTTCGAGACCCACCTGGGCAACT